GCCTATAATCCTAGCACTGAGGTGGGAGAATTGCTGGAGGCCAGAAGTTCAAGACCAATTTGAGGAAGAGCAAGACCCCATCTCTACTAAAAACAGAAAAATCAGCCAAGCGTGGTGGCATACACCTGTAGTCCCAGCTACTCAGGAAGCTGAAGCAGGAGGATCACTTGAGCCCAGGAGTTTGAGGGTCAGTGAGCTATGATGATGCCACTGTACTCTACCCACGGCAACAGACCAAGACCCTGTTTCCCAAAAAACAAAAAAGCAGGTTGGAGGGCCACACAACCTGTTTTTCTCTAAGTTTCTAGGGGCTGGGAGGAATAGGTAGCTTTATATTAATAAAAATGCCTCAAATTTCCAAATGAACTTGCTCTAGATTTGTTTCTCATCTCCCTTTCCCACAAGAATGACCTACCTAGCATGCATTACTTTTTGTGTAATAATTACAGAAGTTCTGGGCAAACTCCAAAATTCCTAAGCTGTCATCACCTCAAGTAACATGGAAAAATATCTATATCTTAGTTGAGTAAAAATAATAAAAGAGAAATTGTTTTAATATTTGCAGGGAGATACGTTTAAACCATTACTTTAATTACTTTGTTTTCAGTGTAATTCTCCATGAAATACATAGAGGTCATTCTCATTTTTGTCTACATTGGTATAAAAAAGACATCCAAAGATAACACAATGCTATTATTAATAGTTAATAATATCTTATATTTATCTTCCACTTCGTATCTTTTATGGATGATGGTTTCACATTAAACTGAGATATTATGACCCCCTTTTTACAGTAATTAAGTAATGAAATTAAGAACCAGAGAGATAACCCATCTGCAAATGACCACAATAGGACTTGCACACCTATCTCCAGGTTCCTTGATAAACAGTTCTCTCTCCTATAGTTCCAAGTATTCAGAAAAGTATTTTCTGATAAGCCTACAAAAGTAGTCTAAACATTTCAAATATATATGGGGTGTCTGTATTATACAAGGTGATGCAATGAAACTGAAATGAACTAATCAAGTTCTAAAGTGAAAAGTTATTCTAACTAATGAATTCGTAGCAGGGCGATATCCTAAAAACAAGCCATCCACAGCTGGAAAACTCATGTACTCCCTTCAGTGAAGAGGGGGCAGATACCACTGGAATAACAAGGTCAGCACTGTTTATCAAACCCCACCCAACACAGGTCAAAGTTGACCCAAGGAGCAGAACACAGTAACTAACCCACAACAGCCAACACCCACATCCTCCCCTCGACCTCATGCACCACAACACGAACATTCATCCTCACTTCTCCCAAGTTCTTTCCAAAAGCAAGATCACCAGAAACACTATGAATGCTACCTCGGAGATTTGCTGAAGATATCCCAGCTTAAGGAAAATAAAACTGTCTTCCAAATCTCTCAAACAATTCTATACATGAGTCCAACTAACATTTGCTCACAAACCCATGCTGTATTCATATAAGCAGGAGCTGGCTAACTTTTTCTGTACAGGGCCAGACAGTAATGTTCTAGGCCTTTTTGGTCAAAAGGTCTCTGTCACAACTACTAAACTCTGCAGTTGTAGCATGAAAGCAGCCAGAGACAGTATGCAATGTGATCGGTAAAGGTACATTCCAATAAAACTTTATTGACAAAAAAAACCAGGCTGCAGCTTGTAGTTTGCCAGCCTCTGAACTTGAGAGTAGTCTGCTTAACCCTCATTCCCAAAGCCCCAAATGGACAACACCTGTGAATCATGGCTGATAGACTCTAACTTGCTCAGCTCTCAGAATTATCTAGTAATCACCCCCATCAATCAGGACTACCCACTGAGAATTACAATAGCAACATCAACAGCAGCAAAAGTATTATTAACTACTTATTTCGTGCCAGAAACTATGTCAAAGTTTTCACACACACCATCTCACTTCATCCCAGTAACAAGGGTACTAGGGAAGTGCTATTAATTATTCCCACTTCACAGATTGGGGAATAGGCTCCAAGCAATTGAACAGCCTTCTAACATCATAAAGATAGTAATTGACAACACTTAGATGTGAACTATGGTCTATACGACTTCAAAATTTATACTCTTGTACACCCCACTCCTAACGGACCAATGGCATTATTTTAGGAGAAACTAAGAAAAATGAGAGAATCACAGGTACAAGATCAAAATCTAGACCACTAAACCAATCTTTCAGGAATGGCTCCTTCAGCTTTACTAAATTTAGAAACATTTCCCCAAGGGAAGAATTGGTTCTCCTAGTCCCAATTGTCAGGCAACATTTATATCTAGAGGAACATATAGGTCCACAGTTGGTTTGCCATGGTTTTAAAGCACTGGTCTGAAGTACCAAAAGTGACAGGCCCCAAATCCTACTACTTCCTGCCCTTTTTCTTATCCAATGGCCAAAGCTAAGGAGTGTCTCCAATAGAACCCAAGTTTTGTTTTGTTTTGTTTTGTTTTTTGAGACAGAGTCTCACTTTGTTACCCAGGCTAGAGTGAGTGCCATGGCGTCAGCCTAGCTCATAGCAACCTCAAACGCCTGGGCTCAAGCGATTCTGCTGCCTCAGCCTCCCGAGTAGCTGGGACTACAGGCATGCACCACCATGCCCAGCTAATTTCTTCTATATATATTAGTTGGCCAATTAATTTCTTTCTGTTTATAGTAGAGACAGGGTCTCGCTCTTGCTCAGGCTGGTTTCGAACTCCTGACCTTGAGCAATCCGCCCGCCTCGGCCTCCCAGAGAGCTAGGATTACAGGCGTGAGCCACCGCGCCCGGCCGAACCCAAGTTTTTTTGACATGAGAATAAATATTGCACGACTCCAGCATGAAGCAACCATTGATATCGTAGAATTTTGAGGAAGAACTGTTTCAAGCATATGAACTGTATTCCATCAACTGATAACCTGTTTCACTCCGCTATTTTTCTTTTACTCGTAATTTTCTCTATTACACCCAGCAAATGACTTCACTGGTTCTTCCAAACCAGTCCACATCCTGCTAAGCAATTCCTCATATCACTGTCCTAGCTGAATCCCAGAAAAAAAATAACTAGAATAAGGCTGACAAACTATAGCCTATGGACTTTATAAAATCAGCTACATGATTTGCACAGGCTGCAAAATAACAATGGTTTTTATATTTTTAAATGGATTGGAAAAAAAAAACAAGAGAAGAATATTTATTCCCTTACACATGAAAATTATACAAAATTCAAATTCCAGTTTGCATAAACAGAGCTTTATCAGAACACAGCCAATCTGTCCAGAGTTGTCTATGGCTGCATTTATAATACAATGACAAGAGTTGAGTAGTTGTAACAGAGACCATATGGCCTGAGAAACCTAAAATGTTTACTATCTGGATCCTTCTAGAGAAAGTATGCCAACGCCTGAACTTGAACCATTGGATCTTCCACAGAAAGAGGCATGCCCAAATCCAGACATGATGCATTCCAGAAATACAAATTAATTCCTCCAGAATTAAGAACATCAATAATCACTGCATCAGAAAGATGGTGCCACTTAATGCACACTCTTAACTAAGTAATGGGATAAGTTTTAGGCCTTTCATTTCTTCACTGCCATTTGCAATTGGAGAGGCTGATGGGACATAACTTCCAATCTTCGAACAGCATTATTATTCTAAATTGATGAACTGTAAATAGCAGGCCACTTTATGCCTCCTCCTGACTGATACCAGAACCACAAAGTACAAAATGATAAATTTTCTTAGGGTTTCTTGGCAAGAAGCTATATATATGTAATTCTGGCTTTCATCTCCCCATTTCCTTCATTTATCAGAAATGGTGACAAAAAGGCTCTAATTAGATAATTCTAATCACAAGGAACTGGGTGTGATGGAAGACTTCAGAATCACTATCTATTCATTGCAAAACAAAACAGATAGACTATTCTCCCAGTAGGGGCAGGAGATTTATCAACAGACAAAAGGATGCAAAAAGCCAATTGATAAGACATAATTAAAGATCAGACCTATAAATTTTACACTGACATAAATTTAACAGCATTTGCAGGTAGAAATCCAGGATTTAAACCAGAGCATCATTATGAAATGGAAACTTTTCAGTTCTATATGCAACAGCATTGTATAAAACATTGCATAATACATAGATTTATTATTAAGACTAATACTCCCAGCCTCCAAGCCCTTTCATACAAGGAATTTGAATTATTCAGTGCCAAAGTCATTTCCAATGTGGTCTATCTTCCTCAAGCACTTCTCCTTAATTAGCTTTAATACATTTTCCCTCTATTTTTGAGCATCAAAATCTCTTTTAGCAATAACAATCCACCTATCGTATCTCTGGTAGTTGTGAGCAGCAGAATCCAGAAAGGTGTGTATATAGCTCTAGTTCTTCATTTTTTTTCCCCCTTGAAATGTAAGAAAATTCTTTCCAATGTTATATTCAACACTGCTATAACAATACTCTCTCTCTCTTCGCTGGCTCAAAGGCTAAATGTAAAAATAAAAATGACAAGAACTGCAGAATATCGTAGAGGGCTAAAATATATTCAAACAAGACGATTTAAAAATAAAGTTGCATTTCTTGGATTAGAGCATAACAGACCATTTTGATATCTGATGTTTGTAATATTTAGCAGACCATTTAGTAGCTCCAGACTAACCCTATATTTTCTGCTCTCCGAAATCACAGCCACTGAAAAGACAGAAAAGAAAAAGCTGTGTCTTTCAGAAAATTATAAGTTTGGTACAGTAACTCATTAACAAGTAAAATTCAGGAATAAATGCAAATTGAGGGGAAAAAAAACAAGATGAGAAAAACAGGTGGGGGAGATAAATTAAGGTACTTATAACCTTGAAGAAAAACAGGCTTGACGATTCCCCAACTTTTAGTGAACCAGGAAAGGTTTGAACAAGTAGAACTCAGGCGTGAAAGTAAGTAAAGGTGTGCTTTTGAGTGAGTTTAATGGCATGTTAACTGGCCTCTCTGCTCCCAATCAGAACCACTGGACTTACCAGAATAGGCCCAGTACGGGTCCCCCGAAGCCTTGCGCCTGCGGATCTGCACAGAGCTGCCGTGTCTGTTTTCGTGCAGGGCCCCGGTGTAGCCTTCTGTCAGCGCTGAAACAGACGGAGACCCGCAATGAGACCAAGTCATCACCCCCCTGGACAAATGAACCCAGCCAGGTGACTTCACAGAGTCACAGATCTTGGGGATGACAGAATAGAACCCACTTATTTTACCAAAACAAATGAACCCTGTTAAGATAGTCTAGACCAGGGGTCCTCAAACTTTTCACACAGGGGGCCAGTTTACTGTCCCTCAGACTGTTGGAGAGTGCACACTGTGGGCCCGGGACGAATCGGCTGCTAAGCAGGACAGGCAGCCTCAGCAAAAAACACCTGGAAGGCTGGATAAATGTGCTAGGCGGTCCACATGTGGCCCTCGGGCCATAGTTTGAGGACGCCTGGTCTAGGCAGATTGTCATGATTATCATTACTATTAATAATCACTTTACAGTGAACCTTTGCTTTGTGCCATAAAGCACAGCACACTAAACACTTTATATATATATATATATTCTCTTATTTAATCTGCAAAACACCACCAAGTACCAAAACAAGATGGTCCCAACAATTGGACCATTCTAAAGATGAAGCTTCCATAGGTGAAGTAACTTTAATTTGCCCAAGGTCATACAACTAGGTAGACCTGAAACCCATGATTTTGGTCCCACCTGCATGTATGAGCTTATGTCTTGGGTGTAAAAGCCCTCTGAATACTAGAGGTTATTCCATCTCTTTTACAAATGAAGGAATGAAGGCTAGAAGACTTCAGGAACTGGCTCCGGGTCACCCAGGAAAGCATGCAGCAGACCAGAAAACTGAACAAAAGCATCCTGCACCAAAGCCAAGGCCTCTGCCACCCAAATGCAGCACAATCTGAGGCCAGAGAGACTTTCATGATCAGCACCTGTCTTCCACATATCCTTCCATATTCTTCTGGCCACTCACAGTCACCTGTGATACCCGGGGATATGAAACAAGAAACCCTCCAAGGCCAGCAATGCTCAGAAAAGGAACCTGCTTAATGATGTATATTTGAAATTGCAAAATTTATCCAATCCACTAAGTGAAAGCAAAAATATTCTTCACCATCATGGAAATCTCCCATCTGCCTATAGTTCTAAGTCCTCTCTTCACAGATGCAAATTTCTTTTGTTGTAAGCCCACACCCCGAATGTAGTGAGAAGACAAATACTACAGGTGCCCAGAATCCAAAATGAAATGGAATTATACTCAAACAATATACCCTAGTTGACTATGTTAATATTTAAATGCACCCAAACAAAATCAAGTGTGCTTTTAAAAGCAAAGAAAGTGGTTTGGGGAAACTGTATATTCGATTTAAGATGAAGATAGTACCAGAAAAACATGATACATTCTCTATTCCAAATTAGTCAACATAATAATAATAATAATAATACTATCACCACGATAGCATTAGCTTTGTTGACAACATGACAGCCATCAAGAAAAATTAGGAAACCTGTAAAGTACACTTCATGACTACATTTTAGTTGCAAATACTAGCTTTAAGAGAAGTAACACTTGAGCAAAGATTTTCCAGAAAAGATGAACCCTATAGGGAGCAATGAGAATCTCATAAACTCCAGATACACATGTAAAAATAAACCTGGTGTCATTTCTATTCATTGGACCTGAAGGAGTCAAAACCTAAGCTACTACCCATTTTTAAAGTACAACGAAGGCTCTGGTACCTACCATGCAAACCATCCCACAGCTATGCAGATAAGCCATTCATATATTCCCAGGAAGTTGACCATTATAACCTTCTAGGGATCAAAAATAAAACTTCCCATCTCCTTGTCTATTTTTTTTTTTTTTTTTTTTGGAGACAGAGTCTCACTCTGTTGCCCAGGCTACAGTGAGTGCCGTGGCATCAGCCTAACTCACAGCAACCTCAAACTCCTGGGCTCAAGCGATCCTCCTGCCTCAGCCTCCCGAGTAGCTGGGACTACAGGCACGCGCCATCACGCCCGGCTAATTTTTTCTATATATATTAGTTGGCCAATTAATTTCTTTCTATTTATAGTAGAGAGGGGGGTCTCACTCTTACTCAGGCTGGTTTTGAACTCCTGACCTCGAGTGATCTTCCCGCCTCGGTCTTCCAGAGTGGTAGGATTACAGACGTGAGCCACCACGCCCAGCCTCCTTGTCTATTTTTTATTAGATTTATTTACCCTTAGGATTATTTTCTGTGCACATGGAAAACTTTTTAAAGTACCTGTTTACTGGGCTTCAAATAATTATCCCCACTGGACAATGAATGAATAAAACATTCTCTTCATCATCTGAGTCACAAATGTGGCTTCCATGAAGGTGTGTATTACATACAGTTTCCCTGTCTGTAAGATAGAGCTAAAAAGTACCAACCTCGTGGGATTGTTATGAACACAACACAAACGACAGTGACAAGAGCTCCTAACTCAGCCCTGGGGAAGCAGTATTTTTTAAATGGCTGACAATACAGTGGAAATCTGCTGTAGAAGCTCTGCTCTCGTAATAATCATACCCAACTCTGCCTACGTATGTGGCATGGATTGGGCAGCCACCTTCTGTCACCACCATCATGGCCAGCTCTAGCGTTGGGCCTTGTTCGGCGTAAGCCAATTATCAATCACTGTAAACCAACCCTTGGCCACAGTGACGTGTTAGGGCATGGACACACTGGCCCCTCAGAGATTCTTCTTTCTTCCCGAAATCATCTTATGACATGAGCTGGAAACCTCAGGGGATGATTGGGGATCAGGTAAGGGATCAAAGGAGGATATGAAAACTAGAACCAAGCCAGAGGGGGCAAAGTCTATAGATCAATTCTGGCGACAAAATTTAAACCCTGGACAAAGCCTATGTGAAGCTAGCCTTTTCTGAGGCTCTGTAGTTACATGAACCAATTACCTGCTAAAGCACATTTTTCTGTCTCTTGTACACAAAAGACCCCCAAATGATACTGATGGTGTCCTTTAAACCACCACTTGAACTCCTGATCATCAATTTCTCCATCCATAAAAGGCCATTGTTGGATGAGAGCTCTAACTCTCAATCCTGGGCAGCTTTAAAATAAATAAATAAATAAAAAATAAAACAACAACAACAACAAAATAAAACCTATGCCCTGGACCTCACCCAGCCACACAAACACATCACACTGTGGTGTGAGAGATGGGAGCCCAGCGGCAGAACTGCCTGCGTCTAAAGTTAATTCACCTAGGACAAGATGGGTACTGCTGAATACAGATGAACCAACAAGAGGTACCAGAGGGGACAGGGCCAGCCCGAGGAGGGGGTTAGACTCGTCTTCCACACATGGCCCAAAGTATTGAGGTGCAAGGCGGGTTTTACACAGCAAGGGCAAAAATGGCAGGAAACCTTTCTGAAGGGCTCTAAGCTACCTGGAAATGAAGAGCACATGTATTCCCAGATGACTGTCAACCTGCCACCCACAATGGAGCTCAACACATGGTACATGTTTATCAACAGTGAGTGAGTGAATGAATGAATACGTGAATGATACACAGGCCAATGATGTCTGCATGGGGGGAGGGAGGAAAGTGATGGTAAGAGTATGTATTTGTATCTGTATGTACGTGTGTGTGTTTTTGAAAGCCACAGGCAAAATCACCATCTTCTCCTTCACCAACTCTTTCTAGCCACAGCCTACCTATCAGACACAGCAAATACTAAAATCATGAAGCAAGAAGGGAATGATCCTGAGTCCCTAATAAGCAATTCTTTGGGGAGGCAACTCAGAAACGAACAGGAGAGCAAAGGACTTTATGACTCTGCCACCAGACTTTTATTTCCCCTACAGACAAAATACTCATTAAAGGTAACTATATTTAGTTTTCCCTTTCATTCCCTCTATGTCAGTAATGTGCAATTTCTTTTCCCCATCAAATAAGAACATAATCACATATGGTCATGACACTACATAATATTGTTTTGGTCAATGACAGGTGGTCCCATAAGAGTATACTACTGTATTTTTACTGTACCCTTTCTGTGTTTACACAGGTTTAGATACACAAATACCTACCACTGTGTTACAATTGCCTACAGTATTCAGTGTAGTAACAGGCTGTACAGGTTTGTAGCCTAAAAAGGTAACAGGAGATAGCCTATAGCCTAGGTGTGGAGTAGGCTAGACCATCTAGGTTTGTGTAAGTACACTCCACAATGTTCCCACGACACAATAGCCTAAGGACACATTACTGTATTACCAGTATTTGCATAATTTAAAAGAAGGCAACTGTGTCCTCAAATGCATTTTAATCAATGATGAGGCAATTTTTAAAAATAAAAACCGATTATTTGAATAGCAGTCAAAAATGTATAGAGAGTATATTAAGCAACTGAATATTTTATTGGCAAGGAGCAGTCATTTGCAAATAGAAACAAGTCTGTGGTTCCCAAGTAAAGATTCAGAGTCAGCACACCAAACTCAATCAATTTTAATACTCTTTGTACTCTTCTAAGCTCAAAGAGCCAACCAACTGCAGTGTGGCGATGATATGGTGTGGCTATGAATCATACTATTGATTCTCAGTATCTTCTGTGCAGAAAATTAAATTATGCAAATGAATGCCTTTACAGATCCTCACCTTAATGTGAAATTGCTGACTTGCTTATGTCAGCAACTTAATTACACAATTAAAAATGCAGTATGCTTATGAAAATACGTAGTTTCGCTCTTCAGAATAGACAGTAAGTGTAAATCTGCCTATGGTTATCGTGTGAATAACAAGAGGGAGGAGACAGTGTCATACAAACATATATTCTATCAAGTGCTACAGCACCAAGCCCACTACGGTTTCTGGAGCTGAAGTTATTTGTCAGCGGAAAGCTCAGGAGGACTTTCACTCACGTTATAATGTAGTAAGTAATTGGACTATGAGTTATGTAAGACACAGGGATGCCCAGTAGTCTATTCTGTATGTACATTGCTGCATACTCCTCCTCCAGGAGGTTGCCTCTAGTGCCACTTAGCCAACACACAGAGGTACACAATGGGCTGACAAACCAGGACATGAGTAATA